CTTTCAGGAGGGCGTCTCCCTTCTAATTCCGACGGAGCCTTGGTGTCCCGACCCAGGTATGGTTTGGGATATGATCCCAATCCATCAAGAAAGATTAAGGTCAAGAAGGTTTCCTCAAACCCAATCGTGATTCAAGTTTATGAAGTTGCAAAAGAGAAATTCGAACAGCCGAAACCTTCAGTCTTTGATAGAATTGAAAATGAGAATGCCAGAGTTTCGGTGTTTAAAAGGTTAAAAGGAGAACCCTCCCTAATGGTCGATGTAAAAGGTAAAGTTTCTGTCTTCCAAAGATTAAGCGAAGATTCTTCTTCTTCTACCCAAATTGATAGGAATGCACAAGCTCCCCAAATATCATCCCAAAGACAATCTGCATTTTCTCAACTTGGGATTAAAACTTCTGATCCAAGCCTAAAGCCACAACAGTCAAGGAAGACGAAGACAACAAAAAGTTCGTCTATCCCTAAAAGAGAGTGAAGAAAAAGAAGAAGTCTCTGTCGATCACATAGCTTTTGAAGAAGCTCCTGATTCAGACTCCGAGTTCGAAAGTTCTGTCACAGCTGATGAACCTGAACCAGCCCCACCTACTTTTGAAGAAGGGGGACAAGCTACTGTGGATGACTTGAAACAATTGAACCTGGGGACCGAAGAAGACCCAAGACCAGTATTTGTAAGTGCCCTTCTCAGTCAAAATGAAGAATATGAGTACATTAGTTTGCTTCACGAATACAAAGACTGTTTGCATGGTCTTACAAAGAAATGTCGGGGTTAAATCCTAAGGTTGCGGTGCATCATCTTGCAGTAAGACATGGAGTTCGACCGGTCAAACAACCTCAAAGAAGATTTTGATCAGAACTGATTCCTCAAATTGAAATGGAAGTCAACAAACTTATTGAAGCTGGATTTATACACAAAGTGAAATATCCAACATGGATTGCAAACATTGTTCCTGTCAAAAAGAAGAACGGGTAATTACGAATTTGCGTTGACTTTCGGGATTTGAATCAAGCTGTCCGAAAGATGATTTTTCACTTCCAATAACAGAGTTGATGGTGGATGCAACTATCGTATATGAAGTCTTATCTTTCATAGACGGGTTTTTCGGATACAATCAGATACGGATGAACCCAAAAGATAAGGAACTCACATCATTTCGTAACCCTAAAGGCATATATTGTTACAAATTTATGCCTTTTGGATTAAAAAATGTGGGGACAACCTACCAACAGGCAATGCAAAAGATTTTCGATGATGTTCTACATAAGAACGTTGAATGTTATGTGGATGATACTTTTGTTAAAACAAAAAGACGTGACGATCATTTACAAGATTTATGAGATGTTTTCAAAAAACTTCGAAGACATCAATTAAAGATAAATCCGTTGAAATGTGCATTTGGCGTCACCTCTCGAAAATTTCTTGGCTTCATTGTTCGACACCGGGGCATTGAAATAGATCAATCAAAAATTGAAGCTATAATCAACATGCCAGAGCCAAGAAATGTACGTGAGTTGAAAAATTTTCAAGAAAAACTTGCATACATTCGAATATTTATCTCTAATCTAGCCGGACGTTGTCATCTATTCAACAAATTGGTGAAGAAAGATGTACCATTTGAATGGGATGACGCTTGTCAAAATGCTTTCCAAAGCATTAAACAATATTTGTCTCATCTAGTACTCACAGCTCCAATTTCGGGGAAGTCGTTGTCTCTTTATGTTGCAGCACAAGAATGTTCTCTAGGGGCACTTCTTGTCCAAGTTAATGAAGAAGGAAAAGAGAATGCACTTTATTACAGCCGGACATTGGTAGGCGTTGAAATGAAGTATTCGCCTATTGAAAAAATATGCCTCGCGTTAATCTTCGCGGCTAAAAAGTTGAGGCATTATATGCTATCACACACAATCAATCTTGTTTCGAAGATTGATCCATTGAAGTACATAATGTCTAGGCCGATTCTTTCTGGAAGGATTGGAAAATGGGCACTACTGTTGTCTGAGTTCGACATCAAATTCATTCCACAAAAGGTCGTTAAAGGACAAGGTTTGGCGAATTTCCTTGCTGACCACCCAATTCCAGCAGAATGGGAACTTCAGGAAGACTTTCTCGATGAAGAAGTTCTATTCGCCGAAATCATACCATCAAGGAGGCTATACTTCGACGGGGTAGCCCGAAGTTATGGTGCTGGAGCAGAAGTGGTCTTCATCACTCCTCATGATCTCGTCATGCCCTATCATTTGCCTTAACAGAGAAATGTTCGAATAATGTGGCAGAATATCAAGCTCTTATCATTGGCTTAGAGACAACTTCAGATTTGGATATTTACCAACTGGAAGTCTTTGGAGACTCTAAATTGATAATCAACCAACTTTTAGCTGAATATGAAGTCCATAATTCAGACTTGAAGCCATATCATGAACATGCAGCAATGCTTATGAGACGATTTGATTCGATAAAAATCAAATTCGTCCCGAGACGTGAAAATAAGGAAGCTGATGCCTTAGCTAATTTGGCTGCTTTTTTAGCTAGATTAGATGAATAATTTTCCCACTCCATATCAATTGCTCAAAGATGGGTGCTTTCGTCATTGCTACCCAGTAATTTGGAAGAAAACAATAGTGTCGATCTAGTCGAAGATAAGGAAAGAGAAGATTGGAGACAGTCAATAATCGATTTTCTTCAACATCAAAAGCTACCAAATAATCCAAGACGAAAAACAGAAATCAAGAGGTGTGCCTCTCGCTTTATCTTTTATAAAGGAACACTTTATCGACGATCATTTGATGGAGTTTTCCTTCGATGTCTAAGTAATGATGAAGCAACGCAAGTCGTGGAAAAAGCCCACTCTGGAATTTGTGGTGCCCACCAATCTGGACCTAAACTCCATTTTCGAATAAAGAGGATGGGATATTACTGGCCAACAATGGTACAAGACTCCATGGATTATGCAAGAAAATGTGAAGCTTGCCAAATCCATGCAAATTTCATCCATCAACCTCCAGAACCATTACATCCAACAATAGCTTCATGGCCGTTTGATGCATGAGGTCTTGATGTAATTGGACCTATAACTCCAAATTCTTCAGCAGGGCATGCATACATCCTCGTTAGGACCGACTACTTCTCTAAGTGGATCGAAGCCATACCATTAAAGGAAATAAAGAAAGAAAATGTCGCAGATTTCATTCGTATCCAAATCCTTTATCGACATGGTGTCCCGCGACATATCATAACTGATAATGGCAAGCCATTTTGCAATAGCCTCACAAACAATTTATGTGCAAAGTTTGGATTCAAACAGTACTACTCGTCCATGTACAATGCGGTAGCTAACGGATTGGCAGAGGCATTCAACAAAACAATATGCAGTCTACTGAAAAAAGGTTGTCTCCAAATCAAAAAGAAATTGGCATGAGAAAATCAGTGAAGTCTTATGGGCTTATCAAACTACTTATCGGACTCCAACACAAGCCACTCCTTATGCCTTAGTATATGGGGTAGAAGCTGTCCTTCCCCTGGAGTGTCAAATTCCATCACTTTGAATTGCTATCCAGGAAGGTTTGACAACTGGAGAAAATGCCCGCCTTCGATTAGAAGAGCTAGAAGCTTTGGATAATAAGAGGTTAAAAGCACAAATGCATCTAGAGTACTATCAAGCTCGAATGGCCAAGTCTTTCAACAAAAAGGTGCGACCAAAGTTCATTTCAAGTTGGAGATCTGGTACTTTCCGTGCGCAGGCCAATCATAATCACAAGAAAAACAGGGGGCAAGTTTCAACCTAAATGGGATGGTCCATTTCTTGTTACTCATGCATTCACTAACGGAACGTACAAGATCGTCAACAAAGACGGATTGCAAATCTGACCTATCAATGAAAAATTTTTAAAGCGTTTTTACGCCTGAAATTCTTTATTTTTAAATTTTTCATTGTACAAGAAAATTGTGTTCTTGTAATAAACTACGTTCGACTTGATCTCATTTGGGTACGTAGGCAGCTTGAATAAATTATAAATTCAAGTTCATTCACAACTAATAAATTCATTCAATTTGTTTATCAATTGCTGTAAAAAAAACACAAGAAACATGAAAAACAAAAGTTCATCCAAATAAAAATAGTAAGTCAAAATTCAAACAATATGGTCTTAAAAAAAAAAAGAGATTAGAAATTCATGACTTCATCAAGATCACTCGCCATTGATCACTCGCAGGAAACTATCTTCAAGGGTCTTCCTTTTCTGATCAATGGATGCTATGCTAGCGACATCTCTTGTCTATGCTTCTTCCAATGCTGCCTTCTTGATTCCAATCATACTTTTGTCTTCCTCTTGGGCTTGAAGTTCATGACGAAGTCTATCTAACACAAATGTTAGCTCACTAATTTTGCCTCTCAACGAAGAACACGTGGAATCCTTTACTTCCAGTTGAATGTTCAAAAGTTTCAACTCCTCTGCCTTTTCTTCAACGATTGGACAATCCAAGTGCCACTTTCTTTCAGACAAGAGTCAATTTTTTTCAGAAACACATCCATGCATTTCATTAAAGGTACTAGGTCTGTGTGGAATGAGTTGGTAATCACATTCTGAAGAATTAAATTATTTTCATCCCACCAAGATCGAATATTGGAGAATTCATACTTTAAGACATCCTTAAAACATTTCTGGAGGTAATTATTCATAGCTTCTTGCAGAGCAGCCTTCAGATAAGGAAACTCTTGGGTAATTTCAGGTGGAGGACCAGACATGAAAGAACAGATTGGTGCAGTCCGATGATTATTTGTTTGTGAAGGTGGAATACTGACTAAAGCCAACGAAGATGGAACGACAAGAACTCCTTGATTGACCTCTAAAATGTTAGTTCTCACAGTCTCTGAATTTACTTCATCTTCAGCATTAAAATTGTCCATGATATGCACCAAAGTACTTCCATTGATGGTACCTGGATATTTGCAAAGAAGGTCATGAGAATAATGAATACCATCTATTCTTGAAGTGCATCGATTCGTCCGTCATTCTCGCCAGTCTGATCTTGCAAAAAGTTTGGATTCATGGAGAAATTTAGTTCTTCAGGGATGCTCGGAAAACCTACAAGAAATAGAGCATGGTTTCAAAAAAAAAGCGGAAAAAGTGCAGCAAACATCAATAGGGCATATACCTGCATTTCGTGTCCTAGGCGACATGTTTAAAAATCCACCATCTGATGATGTGTTTGGGAGGCTGAGGTTAATGTGAGAAGCTCCAACTTCACCTTTTGAAAGACTCGGAATAGCTTGAAGCGGCCTCAGTTCTATTAGTCATTTGATTTTGTATATTCCAGAAAGAGGAGCCTGAAATTGAAGATTGTGACAGAAAATGAAATACAAACAGTACATAAAATAAAAAATAAAAAAGGGAGAACTATACCTGATCTCCAGAATTTTCATCTTCTGGAGTCACAGTCTCTCCTGGTGCTTGTGATGCTCGATCTCCAATACTACTATGATCTGGAATCAAAATTGCTTCTGGCGCCTTATCAGCATGCTCAGAGGTGGCACCAACCTTTGCCGAGGGAACTATATTTTTGATTCTCTTAATACCTCTTTCATTTTGCTGGTTTAGATCTCTCTTTCGAGAAGCCTCTTCAGGAGCAGCATTTGGAGGGTTTAACCCTCTAGCTAAAACCCTGTTCGGAGTCGAGCCAAAAACAAAGTCACGGCTCTCACTAGAAAATAAGACTTGCACCTGGACCTTGGTCATGAGTGGTAACACTTTGCTATTCCACCAAGCCTGGTATTCAACATCAATGTTTTGATGCATATCGTTCACATGCTCTGGAATACGAAATACAGACCCACTTTTTATTGGAGTTAAGGACAACCAAACCCGATACATGTCGCCTACACTGGGGGAAATATTCAACTTTCTTGGTGAACCAGGAAGTTTCTGTCTAAAGCCAATCTGTCTCGCAAACCTGTGAGGATTATACGCCTCAAGAATGAAAGGTGAATTTCCTCAATGATAAGAAACAAATCCAGATCGAATACTCATCATGAATTCTGAAGTATCTGTAGACCTCGGTTGGTCGTCCACACGTACATAAGGATGAGACGATGAGGGTAATGGATTCCAGCAAAAGTTATCGGAATTCATCGCTCCACGGATAAATTCCCGACAATCAATGACATTTTTCTCCCAAGATTGAAAAGCATTCAGAGTTCCGGCATATCTTTGAATTATATGGTGAGAATAACTTTTGTCTACATGAGCATAAACATCTCGGACAAAATAAGTTACTGCCCAAGTATAAAGAAAATGTCCAGGAAATGAATGTGATATTGAGCCAAGGTCTAGATTTGCCTGATAGTTAGATGTTCGTGTAAGTCCACTATAAATGCTCGCTAATATGGGTGGAACTAGACTATAAGTGTATCCGCCTGCCATCTTAGAAGATGCTTTAAAAGTCCCGCCTCTTATACTTTCGTCCCCAAACGGAAGAACGAAGTGATAAAGCCATAGGGAGAGATAGGCTGCTATCTCTAATTCCTCTTCTTCTTCCATAGACAGAGATACTGGAAAATTGCCACATTGACGTCGATCCCTACGAGTAATGTCTCTCGGCTTGTCTGCCACCACGAGCCTCCGTATTTCCTTCGATGTTCTTTGATGGCGCCTTTTGAATGGATTTAAATTCATAGCATTCTTATAATTTTTGTGTTGTCGAGGGTTTGGGACACAACCATTCTCATGAAACCAAAAATTAATCCATTGTTCATGAGTAACTCTATCAGATTCATTCACGTGGGCAATCAATGTAAAAACATTAAAGAGATACAAATAAGACTTGAGAAGATGATCCGTCAACTCTGAAAGGTTTGGGACTACTTCCTCATAATAATGACCCGTGATTGAAAATCCACTTATCTCGCGAATGTCCTAAAGAGAAATGCCAATTTCACCATTGGCAGTCACAAAAGTGTTGGTTTCTGGACACCAAACCTCACAAAGAGCTCTGTAAATGGAGTTTGGACGATGGTAATCTTTTGCAACAGAACCGACTGCAAAAGCTAACTCTTGGATATTCCTCTTGAGCAGAAGTTTCTGGACCCACAAAGACCACTCCTAAAATTTTGGAAGAAAAGAAATCTCTCCTCGACTGACCAGTGCGCTTCCCCATCGTATTTCTCTATTATCAATTCTCTCATAAATCACAGCCCTTGGAATGTACTCCATGCTCTGGGAATGATGAGGGAAAGATACAAAAAGGAAAGATGACTGCTAGAGCGATTGGACTTGCCAGTATCCAAACTCTCATGACAATAACTAATGGTGGACATATGCAACTCCGACAATGGCTTCAGAAGGTCGGGGGAAGGATCTATCGTTGGCTTATGGACACTAACTTTAAGTTCACCTCGTACGCTGGTCTGGGCATGGTACTTCACATTAGTATCTTTGAAACACAGATAACTTTTGCCTTGATTTTTAAACTCAACAATTTCATGCATGTCAGAACACACTTTATCATCAGAACTTGTTCCAGCCATGCCTGCAACAAAAAAAAAGTCAACCAAAAAAAAGGGAGGGCAGTAAACCTCTCAAATTAGTTTATTGTTTAAAATCCCGAGTCTCCCAACTATGTAAGCAGCCTCTATAAAAAGTGTCTTGGACGATGGAAGGAACAAGTCCTTGCTCCTCAACACAAAGTGTCTTGGACGATGGAAGGAATAAGTCCTTGGTCCTCAACACAAGTGCATTGGACAGTCGAAGGAGCTAGTCCTTGGTCCTTAACACAAAGTGCCTTAGACGGTCGAAGGAACCAGTCCTTAGTCCTTAACACAAAGTGGCTTGAACGGTCGAAGAGCCAGCCCTTGGTCTTCAGCATAAAGTGCCTTGGACGATGGAAGGAACAAGTTCTTGGTCCTCAACACAAAGTGCCTTGGAAAGTCGAAGGAGCCAATCTTTGGTCCTTAACACAAAGTGCCTTAGACGATCGAAAGAACCAATCCTTGGTCCTTAACACAAAGTGTCTTGAACGATGGAAGGAACAAGTCCTTGATCCTCAACCCGAAGTATCTTAGACGATGGAAGGAACAAGTCATTGGTACTTAACACAAAGTGTTTTGAACGATGGAAGGAACAGGTCCTTGGTCCTCAACACAAAGTGTCTTGGACTGTTGAAGAAGTCAGTTCTTGGTCCTTAACACAAAGTGCCTTGGACTGTCGAAGGATTCAGTCCTTGGTCCTTAACACAAAGTGCCTTGGACGATGGAAGGAGCAGGTCCTTGGTCTTTAACAAAAAGTGCATTGGATGGTGAAAAGTGACAGTCCTTGATCCTCAACGTATACTGAGGTTTGCAATTTTGAGTTTATTCATAAGTATGTAATTTCTGAACTCATAAAATAATTGCAACAAAAAAAAAATTTAACCTCTTCTCGTAAAAAAATATCTTGAACCTCAAAATCCTTGATCTGCTCCAAAATGCTGAATCCCTACAACAACAAAAAATGAAGAATGTTAATTTCAATTTTGTCCAAATAAATAAATAATCACACCAAAATAATCAACAAAAAAAAAAGAAAGGGATTGAAATAAAAAGACAAAAAAAAAAAGAGAGAAGGGAACTAGAACAAGAAGAAAGAAATAAAAATACAACGTTACGTAAAAAAAAAAAAAAAGAAAGGAAGGAAGAAGAAACGACAAAAAAAAAAGACTTCTGCCACAATTCCACGAATTGGAATTGCTTCCGACACAAAAATCAAAAACAATTTAAAAATAATAATAATAGTAATAATAAATAATAATTAATTCTGAATGGTTTCTGCTGGGGGAGAAACCAAGGAAAACCAATAGGAATTTCCAATTGGAGTTTCTATCCTCAACATAAACCAATTGGTCTCGCCGCAAGAAATATAAAAATAAAATTAAAAAAAAAAGAGAAAAGAGAGAGAATGGTCAAATCTTGGTTTTTACATGGCAGAAACCAATGAAATTAATTATTTTCTGCAATGTTAATATGGTTTCTGACATTGCAGAAACCAAACAAGTAAGTTTCGGCGGAAACTATTAATAAAATAATTAAAAAAAATTATTTTGCCAAGTGGAAACCAATTGCAGAAACCAATTATTGGTTTGTACAATTGATTTCTGCAATGTTGCAGAAATCAAATCTTGTGTCTGCAACATTGCAGAAACCAAACAAGTTGATTTTCGTCGCTGGGCGGAAACTATTAAAAGGAAAACGAGAGAGAAAAAAATATAAAAAAATAAAATATTTACCTCCGTTTGCAAATTTAACCAATTGATTTCCAAATCTCATAATGTATTCATATAAATAAGTAAGTATCAGACTTCACTTAAATCCAATTTACCATGAAACATAAAAAGTTTATTTAAAGCAAATTTGTTATGGGTCTATAAAATAAATAAATAATCAAAATTTGACAAAAAAGAAAATTCTTATTCTCAAATTTGAAGGATAAATTTTTTATCAAATTCATATCTTATTCTCAAAATTTCCATCTGTATTAATTTACTAACGAGAAATTTGAGTTCAAATCAAATCCTAAATTAAAAAAAAAAAAACAAAATCAAGAAATTCAAAAAATCAAGATTTATTGATTTATTTATTTCGTAATAAATAAATAAATCTTGAGGGGACATTTGTAGACATAAAAATAAAATAAAATAAATTGGATCGGATCGGATCGATTTAAATCATTAGCCCAATTAAATTAAAATCTACTAAGGTCCATAAATCCAAAGGCCCATATCACATTTTAAATAAATAATCAAACAAATAAATAAAATCATAATTACTCAATTATCTCTTTTAATTAGATGTAATTGAGTAATTATCAAATTTAGCGCGAATTCTCGCCTATAAATATGACCAATGGTCCATAAGATAGAGACATAGAAAGCAAGCAAGAAAGAATGCAGAGAACGCCACGAAGTGCTGAAAAAATCACAAGGCTGAAAGAAGGGAAGAAATTATGTCAAGCATTAGCTCAGTGAACCCCAAGAAGATTAAAATCTTCTTCGAATCAAACAGGTTCACGCCAAGTTTAAAAAAATTAAAGTCTTCTTCAAATCAAATCAAATTCAAGTCCAAGTCCAAGTCTCAAGATTCAAGTTCCAAACAAGTTAAATCTCGACAAATCAAATTTTCAGCAAAATTATTGAAGACCAGGATTCAAGGCACGTGACCCCTCATTTTCAAATATTCAGATCATTAATCAGAGGATTTTGCAATTTTGCAATTACAAGAAGGTCAACATCACTTGTATTTATCAAAATACAATCTGTAACGATTTCTGTATTTTAATACACGAAATTTCGTCGTACACCCATCGCCTTCTTTGGAAAATCCTTTCAATATCCAGATCAAGCTCGAAAAGATCAAAAATTCTCAAACGAAGCATGCACTTTCGAATACCTAGGAAAACCAAAATTGAGAAGTCAACTTCACGATAAAGATTTTAAAACTGCACAAATGAACAAAAATAAAATTGTGAAAATTAGAATCAACAAAAGATTGTAATTGAACCAAAACACGCCCTGACAACGAAGCAAAATTTTTTTCGCTAAAAATGAAAATCGTAAGTGCACGGTCGCGTTCAAGTAATAAAATGAACTTTTTAAATTCGAGTTGATCCCTTGAAAAGTGTTTATTCCAATTACACAAGAGTTGATTCAAATTAACGGTAAAGACACACACAATTAAAATCTTTAAAATTAAAAATGAAAAGAAAATGACTTTAAGCTTTCAATTAAAAACACACAATTATAACAATAATGAGAATTTGGATTTTAATTGGGTTGAGATTTATGATTCCACTTGTCCGTTACTAAATTAATTTCTCACAAACAAATTACTAGAAAATGCTAACTTATCTTGTCAAACCCAATTTTCCTATTTTAGTTAATTACATCTCTCAAGTGAAATTAACTCTAATAAATTGGTTGAACCTACTATATTTCTATGTCGATTAAACACAATCAATAGCATTAAATATCTATGAAAATAGCTCAAAGGGTTTATAGGGTTGGGAGTATATCTCTATCTCCCACAAGAGCATAAGGTTTCTACCATCTCAGTTTAAAATGTGCAAGAATTTCTCAATAATCACACAAATCATTTGACATTATCACACAATGATGACAATAAGGATAATGCAGTCAAAACAATGGTAAAAACAAAAGAGCATAAGCATTAATACATTAACAAGTAAACATAGAAATTAATATAGTTTGGCCAAACTTCCTCATTCATCCCAATACCAAAATATTTAGATTGTGTTTAAAGGGCTCAAAGTGAAAATATTAAAGAAATACATGACAAAAGTTGATAAGAATATAATGTAAATTACAATATAAAGAAATAAACCTATCCCTTGGTCCGACCATTGAAGCTTGCTTAGTTTTGGTTTTGATTTCTCCAAGATTTTCCTCCTCTTTGTGTGATATTTCCTCTCTTTTTTTGCTTGTCCCCTTTTTCTCCCTATGCTAGGGTTTTGAAATGGATGAAGAATGGGAAAAAAATGGTTCAATTTGCCCTTTAAATGGCTCAAAAATCGTGTTTTGTTAATTGCAAAATGGTCCTCAATTAATTAGAAAAAAGCCAAATGGACCCTAGCCGTGGCTACGGCGTTGCGACACCTTGTACGTGGTGCTGCAGCGCCATAGTGCTATCAAATGGACAAAACCACGGCGCCACTTCCCTATTTTGCTCTTATTGAAGCTCTAGTCCTTTGGTAATTGCGCATTCAATCCCTCAACTTTCATATTGTACATTTTAGTCCTCAAATTTTGACTTTTCTTTTAATCATGCCCATATAAAATATTGCAACCTAGGTCCCTAAACTTTCAGTACTTTTGCACTTTTGGTCCTCTCTTCCTTTAGCCATTTTCTCCTCCAATTTGGGATTTTGGCCTACAAACACCACAATTATGAACAAAAATTCGCTCAATTTCATCAATAAATAGCTCATTAAAATGCCTAAAAAGTGTGTAAAAATATACTTATCAAAAACAACCCAAATATCTCTTCAACCACCACATCTATACTAGTATGAGAATTTACAGTCAGCTCTTCTAGGTTCACAAGCAAGGAATTCCCATTCCAATGTTGAAATCAGGATGCTAATAGGTAAAAATTAGTGTGCAAAAGGTTTAAGAAGTGAGCATCGCGAGCAGGCCAGAGATGCATGTATTTGGTAGAAATATGAGGTAGGACAATGTAAGATCAACCTTATACTAAGGTAGAGTCCCAAATGGTTTGGGATTTCAAAAGAAGATTCTCATGGAGTATTGTAGAACTAAATTGACACCTTAATAATCACCATGCATGTCACCAGAATTAACATATATCTAACTCTTGTAGATTATAAGACTTTTGTTAATATCTTATATTTTAAAACTTTGGTACAAATGGGAATTCCAGAAAGGTATTTACATCCCACTTCTATAAATTGAAAGACTTTACGAGAGATCACATTAAAATGTGAGGTCAGATTGTCCTAACTGTTGAACTAGGAGATGTACCCTACAAGAGGAGGACCATTGCTGATTTTGTAGTAGTCGACTTATCGTCTTGTTATAATGCAATCTTGGGAAGCTTATATTGCATGAATTAAAGATAGCCAATTCAATTTACCATTATTGTATGAAGTTTCTTACCCCAGGTGGAGTGGGCGTCGTATGGAAGGACCATGCTGAGGTAAGATCATGCAATTTTGATCAACCTAGGTCAAGGGTAAATATGTTCTAAGAAGGGAACGTCGACCATGCTTGAGAGGCCAGATTAAAAAGACCTATCTCGATCAACCTAACTAAAAGAGGTATTATAGATAAACATCAAAAAGGCATGAAGACTACTATTTGTCTTTCGATGAAGAGCAAACACAGTCATATTTTTTCAATGTGCATTATCACCTCGACCAAGCTGACGATGTGGGCATTCCGAGCCAATGCGTTGAACTTTGGAAACTCTTTCTAGAGCTCTATGGCTTTGATTGTCCTAGCATTTGCCTCATCGATATTTTTTTCATTCCTCTTCATCCTTCAATTTTTCATTGTAAGCTCAAATGTTGGCTTCCTCACTCTGTAACTTAGTTGTTGCCAACTCTTTCTCACGCTTAGACCTAAATACGATCTTAGCCTTTAGTTCGGCCTCCAAGGTGCAAAGTCTATGCTCATGTTCTTTCTTCTCCTTTGTCTTTTGGACTTTGTCAGCCTTGACAACCTAGAAAGTAGCTAAGGCCTCATTCCTGAAAGCAACCACTTTTTCAATCTTCGCATTGACAATTTTGATTATTCAATAGAGAGTTCAAAAAGAAAAAAGAAAAAGAGGAACACATCTTCATGGCCACATTCATCATATATAAAACAGAATGATCATTGTATAGCTTTCCAGTAATACATACCTCATCTATAGACATCTCTTCCAGAAACCTTTGTTTTCTTTCATTACAGTTTCTTATTAGTAGGTTAGCTGAGTCTCTAATAGTAAAAGGGAAAGATGAGATCATATCTTTGGAAAGTGATGGTGCTTGAAGAAAATCTAGGAATATCTTTGGGTGAGTTCCAACCATAGCTTCAATATCGGGGTACTGGAGATTGGGGAAAGGAAAATGTGAACAAGAAATGCCTGAGGTCGTACGTGTTGAAGCGACAGCAGTAATAGCCTCTCTAATAGGAGAACCAATGGGAGAAGTTAGGTAAGGAATAGCAGTCAGAGGCTGAAATACCTTGGCTAAAATAGTGGATTTGGTTTTCTTAGCCAAAGATGTCTCTTACTTCCCTTTGATGAGATCTCACCTCTTTTTGAGACTTTTTGAGCTCTATCATTGTACATTTCTTAGATACCTAAGAAGCTTTGTATCCCAATATTATTGGGGTTTGACCTACAAAAGAATAACATATTTCTCAGGCGAATTTGAATATAAAAAAGTTATTTGAAGGATAAGAAAATACCATAATAAGGCTAAGGTAAAGACTTCCATAACTTACTTGAAGGTTGAGGCATGAAATTACGAAGAAACAATTCTGCTTGGAAGTAGCTGGGGTTTGATATCAAGAAGCTGTTGGATTTTGTTTTGTTGTACAGAATAGATTTTCCATGAATGACTTGCTAAACCAGATGAACAATTGCAAAACAGTAAAAATAGAATATCATTTTCTGAAAATGAATTGCACAGAATAAAACAGAAGCATAAAGAAATCCAGAATTCGGAATGAGGATGATCGAGGTGAGAACTAGTCTCTCTGTCCTTAAGACGTTTTTACCCCGTCACACGGTGCTTACGGTATGTGGTAAAGCATCTCCCAAGATACAACGATCAGGTACTTGCAGAAGCAGTACTTCAACTGCAAGACAATGAATTAGAACGGAAGTACTCTCTGTAGACTATTGTAGAAAAGAAGAGTATGTATGCAGAATGATTTCGTGATGTTTCTGTGTGTATTAAAATTGAAATCCTGAGGACCATTCAAATAGAGGAAAGAGTTGACGGTTGAGCAATTTCCATCCACCACTCATGCCCACTTAACGCACAGTTTTTGCAAATTGATGGGTCGGTTAATAAACTATCAAAGGAAGGGAATTAATTGAATTTAAAAAAAATTCAAATTAATACAAGCCCACACCCACACCCACACCCAACCCGACCTGCCCGGTCGGTCGGACGCGACAGGGCCTGCGCGTGTGGCCTTTGGATTAGTCTAGACATTATCTAAGACTCCCCCCTTTCAAAGACTATTGGTATCCCTTGGGGCCCAAACCCATATCCAAACTTGAAGTTTATTAAGTGGTTTAAAGTTGTGTTTCCAACCTATGTGGGATTGGAATATTTTTCCAATTCTTTCCCATTTATTCCTCTTATTTATTGTCCAATTTTCAACCATAATTTCTCATTCATATTGAAGTGGTTTTTCACAATTAAATATTCTACACTCATCTGCTCGGAACGTAGAATTTAATTGAACATTAATTTCGATACATCGAACATCGGGTCCCACTTAAAATTGTGGTCAAAGTTGACCAAATTGACCCACCACTTCCAACAATCCCCCACATGAATGGAAATTATCATGACTATGCAATGCAGACACGAACAGAGAGTACAGGCGAAAGACTTATTGCATCAGGAGAGGTAGTTTTTGGCTTTGAACCTGTCTTAGTGGGATACTATCGAGTTTACTTGGCTAATCAGTGAACTGATGTCTTGAACTGTTCAGCCGTTGGTGTAAACCAAGGCAACAGTATCCACACAATAACATTTCTATTCAATTCTTAGGTTCTCATATTTGTGTTCATTTTGGCCCTGAACAATTCTTGGGACTCATAAGTGATTTAAAGAATTTTAAGCCCTAAATTCTCATAGGAGCGGCCCCACTTCACATTTAGATAGGTGATCTCCTATTAAGAATATTCTGCTATACCCCACTTGGTTTATCCAAACTATAGGAATCATTAAAAGTTACAACTTAGCCTTTTACTTTCTGCAGACAGCACTTTTTATAAAGGGATGGTTAAGTGCTTAACTGAGTCTTAATAACTTAGTTGTCCCATTGAACCAAGATCTTGGGATCTCCAGTCAACAAGGTTGGGTTACCATCATTAAGATTCATGCATGTTCGGCTTTAATCCCATTCCCTTTGATAGACAATATACTTGATCTCTTGGTAGACCTTTTGTAAGCGGATCCGCGAGATCCTCCTTTGATTTCACATAATCAATGAAGATAATACCATTTGAGATCAACTGCTTTATGGTATTGTGTCTACAACGTATATGTCTAGACTTATCATTATACATGCAATTTTGTGCCCTTGCAATAGCAGACTGATTGTCACAGTGAATACTAATTGCAAGCACCGACTTAGGCCAACACGGGATATCCTCTAAGAAGTTACGAAGCCATTCTGCTTCTTCTCTAGCTTTATCTAATGCAATAAACTCTGATTCCATTGTTGATCGAGCTATGCAAGTTTGCTTTGAGGATTTCCAAGACACTGCCGCACTACCAAGTGTAAATATATAACCACTTGTGGATTTAGAATCTTTCATATCAGATATCCAATTTGCATCACAATATCCTTCTAATACTGCTGGATATCTCATATAATGTAATCCAAAATTTAAGGTATGTTTTAAGTATCGAAGTACCTTATTCAATGCCTTCCAGTGATCATTGCTTGGATTACATGTGAACCTACTCAATTTATTAACTACGAACGCAATGTCAGGACGTGTGCAGTTCATTAAATACATCAGACTTCCAATAACCTGAGAATATCTTAATTGATGTACATGTTCACTTCTATTTTTTGCTAAGTGTAGACTCGTGTCTACCGGAGTTTTGACTGGACTTTCATCAAAGATTCCAAATCTCTTTAGCACAGACTCAACATAATGAGATTGTGAAAGAACGAGGCCATCTGGTGTTTTAGAAATTTTAATTCCAAGAATTACATTTGCTACACCCATGTCCTTCATGTCAAAATATTTTGTTAGCATTTTCTTAGTGGAGACAATGATATCATGATTGCTACCCAGAATTAGCATATCATCCACATATAAACATACTAAGACATATGTTGTTGGTGTACTCTTATTATACACACATTTATCACACTCGTTAATTTTAAAACCATTTGACAGCATTGTTTTGTCAAACTTTTGGTACCACTACTTTGGCACCTGTTTTAGTCTATAAAGATTTAACGAGTCTGCAAACCTTTTCTCTTGTCCATGAGCAACAAATCCTTCAGGTTGTTCCATGTATATTTCTTCTTCCAACTCACCATTTAGAAAAGCTGTTTTAACATCCATCTGATGAATTTCGAGATTATGTATCGCACCAATTGCAATAAGGATTCTTATCGAAGTAATCCTCGTTACTGGTGAGTAAGTATCAAAGAAATCAAGACCTTCCTTTTGTCTATATCATTTTGCTACCAAATGAGCTTTGTATTTATCAATAGATCCATCCGATTTTAACTTTTTATTGAAAATCCACTTGCAACCTAGAGGTTTATTTTCAGGTGGGAGATCAACCAACTCCCAAGTATGATTTTGCATTATCGATTCAATTTCACTATTGATAGCTTCTTTCCAAAAAGGAGCCTCTGGTGTTGACATTGCTTCACTGAATGTCTTTGGTTCATTTTCGATCATGTACGTTATAAATTCTGAACCGAAGGACGTAGACTTTCTCTCCCTTTTACTGCGTTTGAGTTCTTCTTCATTTTCATCATCATTTGCAATATCGTAAGTTCGTTTTGTTGAACTTACATCACTTTTGTCTTTACGAGAAAAGACATCTTCGAAGAAACTTGCATTCCTTGATTCAATTATTGTATCTTCATGTATATCCATAATCTCGGATTTATGCACAAGAAAGCGATATGCACTACTGTTATGAGCATATCCAATAAATATTCAATCTACAGTTTTTGGTCCTATTTTTATTTGTTTAGGTTTTGGCACTTCTACCTTTGCCGAACACCCCCACACTTTCAAGTATTTATATGAAGGTTTATGACCTTTCCATAATTCGTAAGGTGTTTCATCATTTACTTTGTGTGGTATTTTGTTAAGAATGTGATTTCCCGAGAAGATAGCCTCCCCCCACAAATTCTGTGGTAGGCCAGAACTAATCAACATAGCATTCATCATTTCTTTAAGCGTGCGGTTCTTTCGTTCCGCAATACCATTAGATTGAGGTGAATAAGGAGCCATTGTTTGATGAATGATGCCTTGTTGAGAACAAAATTCTTCAAACGGCGCTCCATATTCTCCACCTCTATCACTTCAAACAATTTTTATTGTTTTTTTAAGTTGATTTTCAACTTCATTCTTATAATGTTTAAACATTTCCAAAGCATCATCTTTGCTTTTTAATAGATAAACATAACAGTACCGAGTGCAATGGTCAATGAAAGTGATGAAATACTTTTTCCCACCTTTAGTTTGTACGAATTTCAAATCACATATATCGCTGTGAATTAATTCTAAAGGTAAAGTATTTCTATCAACTGAAGGAAATGGTCTTTTGGCTAACTTAGCCTCAACACAAGTTTTACATTTGTGATTAGGATCGAAACTTAGAGAAGGTAGCAAATTTAATTTCATTAATTTGCGCACAGATTTAAAGTTTGCATGTCCTAATCTTTTATGCCATAAACAAGAAGAATCAACAATATACGCAGAAGTAGAAGCTTCATTAATCTTGTTCAATTTAGGTACAACAGTAAGGACATTCATCTTGAACATCCCATCGGTCATGTAACATTTTCCAACGTACATCCCATTTTTAGTTAGTACAAATTTGTCAGATACAAATACTAACTTAAACCCATTCTTGCTAAGAAGAGAACCAAAAATAAGATTTTTCCGAATGTCCGGCACATGCAACACATTGTTGAGGACGAGTTCCTAGCCAGATGTCATCTTCAAGGTCACCTTTCCTTGTCCTTCAACCTTTGAACTTAAGGAATTTGCCATGAACAGTTGTTCTCCATTGATAGTTTTGTAATCAGAAAACACATTCTTTTCAGCACAAATGTGGCGAGTGGCACCAGTGTCCACCCACCATTCCCTGGGATTTTCAACACTATTACATTCAGATATTACAGCAGATAGGTGCATTTCTTGAACACCTTCAGACATATTTTCAGTTTCAACAACATGTGCACGGTCATTTTGCTTTTTAGGCTTGCGACAGTCAATTGCACGATGTCCAGGTTTGCCACAGTTGAAGCAGTCCCCTTTGAACTTCTTGTTCTTCTGGTTGTTTTCTTTTTTCCTCGGAGCAAAGTTTGAGTGCTTCCTTTTCATGTTCTTCTTTGAACTTGATTCAACCATGTTTGCGTTAGCTTCCATGCTTGGTCCCCCATTCCTCCTTTCAGATTTCTTAGTATCTTCTTCGATCCTCAAACGTACAATCAACTCCTCCATGTTCATTTCCTTACGTTTGTGTTTGACGTAATTTTTGAAATCTCTCCATGAAGGCGGGAGTTTTTCAATTACCGCTGCTACTTGGAATGACTCACTTACAGTCATTTTTTCAGCATGTAAATCATGGAGGAGTACCTGCAAATCTTGAACTTGGGAAATAACAGATTTAGAGTCAATCATTTTATATTCCAAAAATTTTTCGACAAGAAATTTTTTAGA